TGCTCCTTTCTGTTGTGGTTTCTGCTCTCTTGACATCCTTCCTTTTTGTTTTTATTATTTCTTAACTCAGTACATAAGTTAAAAATTAAAAAAAATTAGCTGTGATACACACATATAACATATATGCAAATTTGCTAACAAGATGAGAAAGGCTGCAGACCCCTATTGAGCAGTGGCGGATGGTGGCATGTATAGATCTTATAAAACTGACCAGAAACCTGGAGCAGAATCACTGCCCCACCGACATGGAAGGCATCAACTGGCAATGCTACGATACCCCTTTTGGACAGCCATTATAAACGACTACAAAGCAAGGTCCAGCTCTGTGGCTGCTGAATTAGGAAAATCTACTGAAAAACTGTGCATTTTTCAAGTTGCAAACATACCTTGAGGGTTTCCACAGTGGCTATCTGTTCACTAGTCTTATGTAATACATTATCAGGAATCTACATAATGGGAAATGCTAGCAACTATCTCTTGAGAGCAGCAAGAAAGTACCTGCAATGAGTGATATCAACCTAGATCTGTGGGTGGCTGGCAATATGAATATACCCTTCAAAAGCAAATATACCTTTCAAAAGCATAAAGAATATACCCTTCAAAAGCAATATGAATATACCCTTCAAAAGCAAATATACCTTTAAAAAGCAATATGAATATACCCTTCAAAAGCATAAAGAATATATCCTTCAAAAGCAGCATAACAAGTGGTAACTCACTCACTTGACTGGTGTAATATCTTCTAGTTGCATGTTAAAGTTACTTCTATAAAGCATTTTAAACTATTTTATATTGTTTCTATCCAACTGTTTTTCAGGTTGTGTGCCCCACTTTTCTTCTTTGAAAAAATTAGTTCAAAAAACCTAGCTTTCCAAACTCTACATGCGACTTATTTAAATCTATCATAAAATTGGCTCTGCATCAAGCATTTCAATGGGGAATAAACTGACACTTGTTGGTCAGCCACACAATACACTGTATTCCATTCAATGAACTCATCAAAACATTCATGTGATGTAGAGAGCAGATTGGACCTTAGTTTAGTTGTCCCTTCTCCTTGGCTCTTCTGTTTTCAAACCATGGGTCAGATTCAGGTCTCTCAGTTGGTGATACCACCATCTTCTCCACTTGACAATGTTCCAGATGCTTTTCATGTTAATGAATGGAAGTACTTGTTCCATTTGTGAAATTTTCATGAAATTCGCACCCATCTCTAGTGAAGATGATATCTTTGACCATGGCCCAGTTCTTCAGATGAGAGATTCAGCAAAGCCCCCCAGAAACCACAGCTAAGAGTTTTTCAAAGCAGCTGCTGCATGAGAATTGGTTACCCTACTTCTGCAAAAGCTGAGTGAGAATTCTTTGCTAATTGTTAATTGTTCTTTGGTGAGTTAATAAACAATAAACGTGGCGACTGATGCAGCAAAGAACAGTCTTTGCAAGAAGAGATGCAAATGAATGAAAAGGACAGGAGCATGAAAAGAATTTGGGAAACGGCCAAAAGGGGATACGATGGCAGAGTTCAATGTCACATGCTGAGTTCAAAAGGATACAGCTATGGCATATCCCTCCAGCATTTTACAGACAAAACCAGGAGACGTGTGGCCAAGTGATATCAGAGTGCGGTCAAGATGGCAAACATCATTAATGAGGTAGAACACAAAAGCTTGGAGAGGCTGCAGCAATTTGCTTTTGCCTGAACCTATTGGGAAGGGCACATTGAGTCCAAACTACTTTTGAATTTTCAACTCAGTTTGCAGCAACGAAACTTAAGGAGATTATCACAGTGCTATTTAAACCAGTTTACCTGAGCTGGCTTAAAATTTAAAACAGGTGGCATTCCGATCTTATCA